TGCTTTCGGGCGTCATACTGGGCCCCTAAACCCTAAACCCTAAACCCTAAGCGGGCACAGAGGGCCCGGCTGCATCCGTGAATGTTGAGGCCGGAGCCGGATGCGGAGCTTTGGACATGGACTTTCAGCAGTACCAGGCTATTTACGCTCAGTGGGAACAAGGCCAAGTAACGTTGCAGGAGGTGCAGCAGCAATATGGCTTGGAAAGGGCTGAGCTCCTTCAGGCTCAGCGGGCAGTGGTCATGGATGAGAGAGATCCGCCCATGTGTGAGGCGCTTTCAGACAATGGTGTGGGCCAGGAGACTGCGCCCGACTCCACGTGCAATGAAGTGATCCCTGGTCTCGGAGCTGTGGGGCGACCTCGTCTTCGATTTGGCTTCTTTGAGAGCATCTATGGACAGTGGCGACAGCAACACAGAAGTAGTGTGGAGATCGCGGAGGCCTATGGCCCCTTGTGGGTGCGTCTCTTTCGCCAATGGAAGCTGTGGGGCCTTGAAGGGATATGGGTACATCTGCCGTCAATCTTAGACATGGAGCCGAATCCGTGCCCGACAACCACACGTCCGCTAATTGGTGTTGGAGATTGGGAGGATCGTTTTCTCAAAGTTCCTGAGGCTGCAATGTGGACGCTCTACTCGCGGTGGGTGTCAAGGGAGATTGAGGATTCGGTCCTGGCCTTGGAGTATGGTGAAGAGTGGCTTCGAGCCTTCCACGTGATCTACCAGGATGGGATTGAGGCGGCCAGGACTATGCTCGATGATGTTGTGTTGTGGTCTGCGCAACATGTGGGCTCCAGCTCGCAAGTCTTTGGTCAGTCTGGTATGGCGGGGACTGGACATGGCCAGATTGGGGTGCCGGACGGCGTGATACTGATGAACGAGCTTTCGAGTACACCCCAGGAGTCACGAGGTGATGATGGTTCTGTGCAAGATGAAGTGACGGGCTACAAGGGTTAGTGGTTTTCGCCTTCCACACATGTGGATTCTAGAAAGTGGATGCTCCGCTGGATGGAAAAAGGCGTTCAAAAAAAAAACCCTAAACCCTAAACCCTTAACCCTAAACCGCAACTAGTGCTTCGAACCCTGGAGC